TATATATATATATATATATATATATATATATATATATATGCATCTGAAAAGAGGATAAAATCCTTATTTGTGAAGCATAAAATTCAGTGTATCAACTGCATCAATAGCATTGTTTGTTCCCTCTAGATCTTTACCCAGTTTATTTACTATTTTGAATAGATAAAACATTTATACCATCCACACTTCAGGAGTTACGAAAGAGCATGTAGTGAAATGTTTCCTCCCCATTCGTAATTTATTTGACCATTCTCCTACCAATGGAAATTAAGGTTATTTCCAATCTTTTGCTATTACCCACAAAGCTGCCATGAATCAATGCATGCAAATGTCATTTTGCAAGTGTGCGAGCATACGTGCAGGATAATTCCTACGAGGAGAAACACTGGATCATGTGCACATACACATATAATACCATCAAACGGCCTCCACCGGGTTCTGCTGATTTACACTTCTGCCAGCGATGTGGGCAACTACGCATTTCCCCACACGCTCACCGACATGGCGCTTATGTTTGCCAGTTGAACGGGTGAAAAATGGCATGTTGTTGTATTCTTTTTGGATTTTTTTTTTAGGTGTCAATATGGAATTTATTTTGCTTGTGCTCTTCAACTATAGCAAACCCTCCCAAAATTAGAGGTGCACTTTAGTGCCTATTAAGTCAGCCATCACGTTTTTGGTAAACTAAGGGGACTGAAGGTCAAATCTGGCCTGCTACCTGTTTTATTTTTCTTTTTGAAAATACATGTATAACTTTATTGAAGCATATTTTACATTTACCCATTTCATGTGTACAATTCAATCATTTTTTAGTAAATTTATCAAGTTGTGCAACCATCACCATAAATCATCTTTAGCACATTTCCATCACCCCACTAAGATCCCCTCATGTCCATTAATTGTTAATCTGTCTTCCCTCTCCTGCCCTTCTCCCCAGGCTCTAATCAACTTTCTGCTTCCATAGATTTACTCTTTTTGGACATTTCATATACACGGAATTGTATACTGCGTGGTCTCTCATGTCTGGCTTCTTTCACTGTGCATCATGCTTTTGAGGTTCACCCAAGTTATAGCATGTATAAATCGTTTGTTCCTTTTTTACGGCTGAATAATATTCCATTGCATGGATATACCACATTTCACCTACCCATTCACCAACTGATGGATATTTTGGTTGTTTCAAAATTTTGGCTATTATGAGTAATGCTCCTATAAATATTCACATACAATTTTTTTTTTTTTGCATGGACATATGTTTTCATTTCTCTTGGATAAAGTCCTAAGAGTGGAAGTGCTGAGTCATTTGGTAAATTTATATTTAACTTTTAAAAAACTGACAAACTGGTTTTCCAAAGTGGCTGCACCACTTTACATCCCCGCCGGCCATGTAGGGGGATTGCCTCTTCTCTACGCCCTCAACATTTGTTATTGTCTTTTTTTTTTTTTTTAATTACAGCCATCCTAGTGGTTGTGAAATGGTACCTTATTATAGTTTTAATTTTCATCTTCCTAATGACTAACAGTGTAGAGCATCATTCCATGTGCCTATTAGCTATTCATATATATTCCTTTGTGAATTGTCTATTGGAGTCCTTTGCTCATTTTTTGATTGGACTGTTTGTCTTATTATTGAGATGTAAGAGTTCTTTGTACATTCTGGATACAAATCCTTTATCAAGTATAAGTTTTCAAATATCTTCTTCCAGTCTGTTCTTGTAATTACATTTTCTTAATGGCATCTTTTGAAGCCCCAAAGTTTTGAATTTTGATGAGGTTTAATCTATCAATTTTGTCTGTCAGTGTAGCTTTAATTTGCATTTCTCTTATACGTGTGAGGTTGATTGTCTTTTCATATGTTGAACAGCTTTTATTATGTTTCAAATCCATTTAGATTTTCATGTCTGAGAACTGTTCATATTCTTTGGCTTTAAAAATATTGGGTTATTGAGTTTTTTCTTATAGAGCTGTAGGAGCTCTTTATATTAGAAAAATGATCTCTTTTCTGTGATACTCATTACAAATAATTCTCGCAGTGTGTCATCTGTCATCTGACTTTACTTGGGGTCGGTTTTGCCATGCAGGTTAAAAAATTTTTTTAATGTAGTTTAATTTATGTTTTTTTTCTTCCATGACTCCTGGGTTGTGCGACAGAGGTAAAAAGGTCTTTCCCACTCTGAGGTTATGACATATTTCTTTGTTGGCTGCTTCTGGTTCTTTTGTGTTTTTGTTTTGTTTGACATTTAAATCTCTGATCCATTTGGAATCATTCTGGGCTAAAGTATCAAGAGATAGAGATTAATTTTCTTCTTTTCCACTTGACAACCTGGTTATTATAATACCATTCATTAAATGGTCTTGTTTCTTTTCCTTCTGCAAGAAAGATGAGATGCTTCTTTATTATATACTAAATTTCCATGTGTATTTGGATATATTTCTTGATTTTCTATTCTTTTTCATTTAGTCATTTGCCTGTATCAATGGGCTCTTTAAAACATGTTTTAATACCTGGCAGGGCTGGTTCCTCCTCATTACCCTTCGTTCTCAGAATTTTACTAGTTATTCCTGGTTATTTACTTTCTACCTAAAGTTTAGAATCAAATTAGTCACCCTCTGCATGCCCTGACTCCCCACTCCAACAAAATGCTATTGGTATTTTTATTTGGATCGTACTACGTATCTAGATGATGTTTGGGACTGCTGAAGTATTTATAACATTGAGTTATTCCTACCTAAGATCACAATATGCTTTTCCATCTGCTCATTTTCATTCTTCAGAATGTTTTAAGCTTTTCTTCCCATAGAACACACATTTATTATCAAATTTATTCCTGGATATTTTATCTTTGTGTCATTGCTGCCATTGTAAATGGACTCTTTTATTATATTTTCTATGTAGCTGCATTAATTTTGTAATTCCCCGTCTTACTTCTCATGTTGTTTAAGGTGTTTTTCAGTTTATTCTCTTTGCTTTTCTAAGTACAGAACATATCTGCAAAAAGTGACCATTTCCCCTCTTCCATTCCAATTCTCTATCTCTACATTCTTCCTCTTGTGTAATAGTGTTCAATAGATCCTGTGGGTCAATGGTGATAATGGCCATCCTTGTATTTTTCATGACACCAGTGGAAATGTTTCTTGTGAATCTCATTAAGCATGATATTAACTTTTTTTTTTTTTTTTTGCTGTACGCGGGCCTCTCACCGCTGTGGCCTCTCCTGCTGCGGAGCACAGGCTCCGGACGCGCAGGCTCAGCGGCCATGGCCCACGGGCCCAGCCGCTCCGCGGCATGTGGGATCCTCCCGGACCGGGGCACGAACCCGCGTCCCCCGCATCAGCAGGCGGACTCCCAACCGCTGCGCCACCAGGGAAGCCCGATATTAACTTCTGAACTAAGAAATATTTTGTCATGTTGAAGAAGGATCCATATATTCCATTTTTTGTTTTATTTTTTAATATCAAGAAAGGGAGCTGAATTTGTAAAATGCCCTTTCAGCATCCACAGTGATGAGCTTATGGTTTTCCCTTTTGGATCTCTTTATATGATGCAATGCATTCACAGAACATCCAAAACACAACAGTGCTTGCGTTCGGGAATAAACACCACTTGATTGTAGTGTTTCGCTAATATTTCACTTTGAATTTTTGCATTTATACTCATAAGGAAGACTGACCTGGGGTTCTATTTGTATTCCATCTTTTGGGGGGCTTGGCATCAACGTAATTATCCTCACTTCAGAAAAAGTATTTGCACCGTTTTGTTTTTTACAAATATAAATTTGACTGTTTACGTGTATATTATAGTGATTATGTTTGGTCTATCTCTTCCCCCTCCTCCCTCTCTTCCCATTAGTAACAATTGCTTAGACTTTGTTTTTTTTTTTTTGCGGTACGCGGGCCTCTCACTGTTGTGGCCTCTCCCGTTGCGGAGCACAGGCTCCGGACGCGCAGGCTCAGCGGCCACGGCTCACGGGCCCAGCCGCTCCGCGGCATGTGGGATCTTCCCGGACCGGGGCACGAACCCGTGTCCCCTGCATCGGCAGGTGGACTCTCAACCACTGCGCCACCAGGGGAGCCCTGCTAAGACTTTCTGAATGATTTCAGGGTGCCAAGCTCTGTTCTGAGTACATTACATGCATCATCTCATCTAATTATCGCATCGGCCCAGGGAGGCAGGTGTTTTTAGCATCCCCATCCGCAGACGAGAAAACTGAGACGCAGCGGGGAAGTCACTTGCCTAAGGCTGCAGACCTAGTGGAACTCGGATTCTTCACCACAATGCTGTCCTGACTCTTCAGTCATCTGCCTTTTAAAGTCACGCTGCTTTGTGGCTCCCTTTGATTTACGTATTAACCAGACGTCTTCAGTTTTCTTTTGCTTTTAGTTTGACTGGACATTAACTCTACTTTTGAGAGTTTCTGATGGACAATTTAGACATTCCACCAACATTCTTAATTCTATAATTGTTACCTTTAAAAACTAACATGAAACATGTCTGGCTGCTTGTCATGGGCTTTCAAGACACAACTTGTGCCGGATGATTTAGCTGGAGGGACAAGACCTAAACATGTAAAAAAGTGAAATGACATCACATCAAAATGACAGTCACTCAAGGGAGGGCTCGAACTGCCAACAAGAGAGTGGTTATTAAGTGGTCACACAGTTCAGGGGAGGACAGGAGGGTGGAGAGAGGCTTTGGGAGCTGATGTTGGCTTTTGACAGCGAGTTGGGATCTCTTCCCCTTGATCCTGAGGGCTCAGGCGGGGAAGCAGAGGAAGCCAGGGATGCTGACTGTGGGGTCAGTAGTGCTGACAAAACCTCATCTACAGCATGGCTTTCACTGCTGCTTAGTTAGTGTTTCACGTTACTTAACTAATTCCCTAGTAACGAACATCAGCCTGTTCCTTCTTTGTCAAAGCTATGAACAGTGCAGACAAGAACAGCTGTCACCTATGGCCAGTATCAGCAAACCACATCACATGGGCCAAATCTGGCCTGCTGCCCATGTTTGTAAATAAAGCTTTATTGGAACACAGCCATGCCCATTCGTTTACATATTGTCTCTGCTTTCATGTTATAATAGCAGAGTTGAGAAGTTGCAGCAGAGACTGCATGTTCCACAAATATTTACTATTTTGCTGCTAATGGAAAAAGTTTGTTGTTGCCCATCTATGGCAACTTGTCTTTATTTTTTCCTTAGTATAAATTCCTTGAAGAGCATTTATGGGTGAAAGGGTATACACAGTAAATATTTTGATATTTACTTGGCCCATGGCCCTCAAAAAATGTCATGCTAATTTATGTATCCAGCCACAATGTGTGAGAGTGACTTTTTTCCACACGCTCACCAACTCCAATTATTATCACAAGTTAAAAATTTTAGCAATCCTATAGGTGAAAAGAGATACAGTAACATTATATTTAAATTTCTTTTCTACTGAGTTAAAATTGTTTTTAATTACTTTAACATTTTTTGCCTTTTCTACTGAGGTGTTCAGATTTTTCTTATTACTTTCTAAGAACTCTACATATGAAAGATACCTAACGTCAGCCACGTTGCTAATATTTTCTCCATTTTATCATATGATTTTAATTTCACTTATGATATATTTTGCTGTTTAAGTTTCATTTAGTCAGAGATGTCAGCTTATTCTCTTTATGATTCCTGCCTATGGTGATATACTTATAAAACTACTCCCCATTATTATTAAATATCAAACAATTTCTACTGGTAGTTTGTGGTTTAATATTTTACATGTAAATACTTAATGCATTTGAAATTTATTTTGTATATTAAGGGAGGTAAAGATCAGCTAATTTCCTCAAATGGAGAGCCAGTTGTCCCAACGTTATTTATTGCGTAGTTAACCCTTCTCCACTCAGGTCCTGATTATATTCCTGAATATTCCAACTAGTACCTGAATCAACTTCTGAGCACACTATCCTGAAGTCAGATTATCTGGGTTTGAATCTCAGCTCCTCAACTTATTAACTGTGAATCTGGCCAAATGGCTTGATCTTCGTGGGTTGGGAGGATTGAATGAGTTAATTTACATAATGTTCTTTGCATAGGACCCGGCACAGAATATTTGTCCAATAAATGCTGCACACGACATACTATTTTTGTTATTGCTGTTATCTGTCTATTCCTTTCCCAGTACTGTGATGGCTCAATTACTTTATAATTTGATTTATACCAAGTAGGGCAAGTTCCCCTGATTACAGTTCTTTTTCATAAACTTTTTGGATATTGTCACGCATTCATTCTTCTCTATAAACTTGAGAATAATTTTGTGGATAAAAAATTGTTTTGATTTTATTGGAATTGCACTAACTGCATAAACAATGGAAAGATAATGTGTATTTGTATTTTATTGAATCCTTCTATCCAGAGAAACAAACCATCAGTCTATTTATTCATGTCTTCTTTCATTTTCTTCAGTAAATTTTGTCTGTATAATTCTGTACAATTCTGCATAATATGTCAATATAATTTTTGATAAGTTTGTGTTTTCTAGGAATATAATCACATAATCTGAAAACAATAATAAAATCATCACTTTTTAAATATCTGTAACTTCTTTTCTTTTTCTTATGTTATTGCATTTGTTAGAACTTCCAGAGACTATTAACTAATAGTGCTGATAGCAATTATTCTTTCCTTGAGTTTCACTTTTAACGGTCATGCTTCTAAACGTTTCACTGTTGAGTAATGCAAATCTTCTCTTGGTTTCTATGATAAATACTCTGAGGTTAAGAAGAGTTTTCCTATTTCTGGTTTATTAAGGCATTTCTAAAAGCAGCTTTGGATGTCAACCATCAAATGCCACTAGAGCATCTACAGAGATGGTCCAAGGGTGTTCCTCTTGAAGAACATTAATATGGCAAAGAGCTGAGTCTTGACAGGCAAGCAGGAGCTAAGCAGAGGGCGAAGGGCAGAAGGCATCCTGGAGTGAGGAGAGCGCATGAGATGCACGAAGGCACTAAAGGTGCAGCAGCCTGAGCAGCGAGGAGGACGGCCAAGTGGACCGCTGGAGCTGATGGTGTGAAGATGGGGTGGGGGCGACAGGAAATGATACTGGGAGGCAGGCAGGGACCAGAACATAAAGGGTTCCTGGAATCGAGCTGCTCATCACTGACTAAGAAGATGAGACTCCTGTGTTGTCACATCGCTTTCAAAGACAGGAGAAAGCATGGCTTCATCTAAAAAAATTTGTAAGCCCGTTAATTGATAAACAACCGAAGTACTTCCA